CCCCAGGCCGAGGGTGACACTGTGACCCCATAAGTGACCCCGGGATGACACTGTGACCCTGTAGGTGACACTGTGACCCTGTAGGTGACACCATGACCCTGTGGGTGACACTGTGACCCTGTAGGTGACACTGTGACCCCATGGGTGACACCATGACCCCATAGGTGACACCACATCCCTGTGGGTGACACTGTGACCCCATGGGTGACACCACATCCCCATGGGTGACACTGTGACCCTGTAGGTGACACTGTGACCTCACAGGTGTCACTGTGACCCTGTGGGTGACACTGTGACCCCATGGGTGACACCATGTCCCTGTGGGTGACATGACATCCCTGCAGGTGACACTCTGACCCTGTAGGTGACACTGTGACCCCACGGGTGACACCGTGACCCCGTGGGTGACACCACATCCCTGTGGGTGACATCATGTCCCTTCAGGTGACACCCTGACCCTGTAGGTGACACTGAGACCCCACAGGTGACACTGTGGCTCTGTGGGTGACACTGTGACCCTGTAGGTGACACCGTGTCCCTTTAGATGACACTGTGACCCTGTGGGCGACACTGTGACCCCACGGGTGACCCTGTGACCCCACGGGTGACCCCACCGCCACGGAGGACACGCCCGGTCCCCGAGGGTGACACTGTGACCCCCCCCCTCCAACAACCTCCGGAGGACACCACTGTGTCCCCTCCCCCCCTTGGTGGCACCGCCGGGGGTGGGGGAGGGGTGGGAGGGGGTGGTGACACCGCGCCGGGTGTTGGGGACACTCCCGTGGGCTGGCACCATCCGCTGTCCCCGTGTGTCCCCTTCCCCCCACCCCAGAACCCCGGGGAGGGGGAGGGCGGCCGCCCCTCCCCCCAGCCCGCGCGCTGCTGACGAAGTTTTTAACGAATTCATTAATTGGGGAGACGAAACTGTGAGTGACGGTGACACCGCGGCCACCGCGGCGTGGGGACACTGTCACACCGTGACACCGCGACTGTGATCCCGGGGACACCACCCCC